ACCAGGTCCTACCCCAGTAGGGTCGTCGTCCCCGGATTCAATGGCTGGCGTCCTGATTGGGAAAGGGGGGCGATGAGGACACAGGTGACACACGGGGAAGGCAGCCACTCGAGCGCAGGGGCGGAGGGCATGGAGGGACGCGGCGGCAAGCCCAGGGCGGTCCGCGGCCACCAGAAGCTGGGGCAGACCAGGAAGGGTCCTCCCTGGAGCCTTCGGAGGAGGCCCGGCCCCGCAGACGCCTTGACTCTGGACTTGTGGCCGCCAGAAGCCCGAGAGACTAAATCTCGGCAGCTTCAAGCCTCGGGCAGTGGCAGTTGTCTCGGCCGCCCCGGCAGTGACGAGAGAAGGTCGGAGGGAAGCCTACTATCAATGCTCCTGCCCCGTCCGTGGCCAGGGTCCCTGCAAGCCCCCAAGGGGGTAACACGCGAGAGGGGCCGGAGGAACCCACCGTCACCACACCACCGCCGCCACACCAGTGGGCACCACAGAAGAGAGGCAGCTGCTCCCGCTGCCCCACAGGGGGGTCAGCCGCCGGTACCCCCCAGGCCCCAGGGTCCCCCTCCTTCCCACCAGCCATCGCCCCAGCCAGCCAGCCAGCAGCGCCCACTCCGGAGCCTGCAACTCCACTCAGCCCTTGGCGGCGGCCCGAGCCCAGGCGGCACGCAGGAAGGGGTTTGTCCAGCTCGCTGAGTAGGGCTGGGCGGTGCAGGTCTGCAGGTTTCAGCGCGCCGGCAGCAGAGCAGGTGGCCGTGTTCTCGTGAAGAGCCGGCCGGGCTGCCTGCACAGGGTGCACGGCACTTCGTGTCCCAGCCCCCGTCCCACGGTGCAACTGGACTGCCCGTCATCTCCCGGGCAGGCACAGCCACCCCTCCCCACACTGTCTGGGAGGGTGACCCCAGGGGGGTTGGAGGGCTGCCGCGCTGCCCGGGACCACCGCACCTGCGGAGATCGCGCCGGGCCGCCCTCCTCCGAGCGGTCAGCGCGCAGCCTGTGGCGTGGCCTCGGGCATCCTTTGAAGTCCCCGGGGCCTGGACCTCCAGGAGCAGGAGTTTCCATCCATTCACGGGCACTTGGGAAAGAGGCGGCCCCGCCTGACCACACGCCCGCACACGCGGGTGCCCGCGGCACACGGAGCAGGTGCTGAACCCAGATGCTGCCCGAGTGCCAAGAAACCCCGCCGCGGACTAATAGGAATCTCCAGACTCTAAGCATTTCTCCTTCCTCAGAGCCATCACTGTTCGATTTCTAACACTAAAGAAAAAAAAAATTACTGGATTTAGCACCTGTTTGTTTCAGAAATACTTGCTAAAAACACTAAAAACAGATCCGCCAAAAGGCCACCTTTAAAATTAGTCGTGTTTCCCGCCCGGCGGAGCACGGACGTGTATTTTTAGTAACCCTCCCACCCCAGGTAGCTGGCAGCCACACCACGCATCGTTGTCGGCAACTTACTAAGCAGGCGAGTGTTATTTTTAGCCCCCAAACAGCTCCAATGAAAGTCATAAACAGGCTCGTTTCTGAAGCCAAAGGTTAGAACAAGATATTTAAACAGCCTCACCAACCGTGTTCCATGCCCAGCTTCGGACCTGAGAGTGACCTCGCGGTTGAAGGTAAAGGGGACCGTGGCGCCGCGTCCCCTCCCCTCTCTGCGCCCACGGAGCCAGCTCCTGCCCGAGACTCGCCCCTGCCTTCCTCTGCAGGCCTTCCCAACTACGCTGCATCCGTTTTTTTTTAAATGTGCTCAGCACCTACTATGTGCCCACAATGGCACTCCACAGGGCTGGGGGACCCCGGTCAGGGCCCGAGCACAGCCCCTCTGGGTCTCCCGGGCCGCCTGCCCACCGGTGCTCCTGCCCAGCAACGTGGCTCTCCTCTCGCAGCCTCAGCGCCCCCTCCTCCAAACCCGACTTCCCGAGCGTGCTCCTCCGCCAGTCCCCAATGCCGGGCCAGTCAGTCACAGGCGCCCAGCCCCGACTGAGGATGCTGGTGTCAGGAGCTTCCGGGAGCACGTGAAGCCACCCGAACAGAGACTGCTCCAACTCCAAGCTGGAGGACAAAACTAGGTCTCCGCCAAAGCCATTGCCTTTTTCTCAAGCAGTACGAGGGCCATCTCGGTGCGGATGACTTTTGAACAAACCTCGTCGGACGGAAGGCAGGAAAACCCTGTCCCGCGGGATGTGGTGGGGGGCAGCCTCCGGAGGAGACAAGGCTGAAGCCCGATGCTGCCATCCGGACTCAGGCTGTCACTCCCGGCAAGCCACGGAGGATTTCGTCCCCTTCTTTCCAGAAATGTGCACCAGGTTAAAACACAACACACAGACACACACGCTCTCCATCCCCCTTCCGGCTTTTCTGTGAACAGACACCCCCCCCCCACGCACAGCTGCCCTGGATCGGTTCGCTCAGGGGTGGCATGGGGGCATGCATCTATTTCTTACTACAGTGTTCATGACTTCCCCACCCACTGTGGTCTGCATCCTTTAGAAAAGGGAAGGAGAAAAGCGAAGTGTTTCCTCCAGAAAGTATGCACCCTCTAAAAGCGGGGAACTGTCGGGTAGAGCCCTTCCTGAGCCCCCAATGCCACCACCCACCCCGGGGGACACTGCAGAGCCCCTTCCTCCGGCTCTGTCACGCCAGATCTCCCCTTACACGGCTCACAGGAGCAGTGCTCCTGCCGGGGAAACCCCCGAACAGATCTTCTTTGCAAGAGACCGAAGGCAGTGCGTGGTGTGGGGTGGCTGCACCTCGGCTTGGGCTTCAGTGAGACCGTGTTCATGACCGGGGTGGGGACGGGACTCGCGAACTCAGCAGTCCTCCTGGGCAGAGGCAGACACACACACACACACACACACACACACACACACACTGTCACCTCTACATCCGCCCAAACCCAGGCCTGCCAGTCAAGCTTCAGAGGTGCTGGGTTTGGCGGGTGGACGCCACGGACGGCACCACCATTTCCTCGAGGCCGGAGGTCACGGCACTGAAGCCCAGGTCGCGCCTGAGGCCGCAGGCTGGGCCCCGGGGAGAACTCTCCCTCCTGCCCCTCCTCCCTGGGAAGCGCCATCCTCCACCAGACCTAACCAGGCATCTGACTGACTGTTCTGGCCTTGCGGACGTGAAGCCACTTGGGTCACGGAAGAAAGGGAAGACGAGAAAAAAAGGGCGAGAGCACCAAGGGGCCGGGGTTCCTCGCGGGGACCATGTCTGGGCAGGAACTCCCCGAGTCCCAGGGAGCCCCGCGTGCCCAGCCCTGAGCCCCGGAACCCAAGCACTGGGTAGGGACAGAGCTCAGGATACGACCTGGCTGACGCAGCCCAGGCCAACAGCCCAATGTCACCATGTTTTGGGGGGGGGGGGCCGCCCCGACACGCAGTGGAGCAGGGAGGTGGCGAGAAGCCGCAGCGGCCCAGCGCAGGGCAGGCGGCAGAGATGTGCAGTCATGGGGCCACCGGCTGCCAGCACCAAGCCTCGTCTCTCCTTGCCAAGTTCACGAGCAGACACGCACAGCCACCCTCCACCCCACACGCCTGGGACGAGGATCGCGTCCCCACTGCACACCCGGGCGGAAAACGAGCTCGCTCCGAACGGGGGCAGCGCGCGCCCGGCAGCGAGGGACCCTGGTGGCCATGTGCCCTCTCCCGCTGCTCCAGGACGGCCTGCAGTTTGTGTCTGGTTTCTGTCTTCTCTGCAGAGCTGCTTGGTCGAAGGAGTTCACCCCAAACGAACATTTCCCTTCAGGGTGGAAACCCAAGCAGGAGGCACTTCTCAAAGTGCTCCCTGCCCCCACTTACCCCAAAGGAAGGACTGTGGGAACAGCGGGCCCAGGACGAGGCTGGCAGCAGCCCTGCGCTCAGGCGCAAGGGTCTCCAGGGCACAGTGGGGAGACGGGAGGAAAACCGAGGTCTGGGAGGGCGACGCCCCCCGCCCCCGCAGGGGGGCAGGGCACCTCACACTGCCATCAGGGGTCGCACCGCAGCGCATTCCCAGGCTGGGCAGAGAATCCCAGGTCAGCGAGTGGAGGGGGGGTGAGTTAGGGAGTCCCAGCTTCCCAGGCCCCCATTCCTTGCTCCACCCCCACCCTGCTGATGCCTCCGCGGGCTTTGGGCCACAAAAGCCACCGCTGCCAGGCCAATGCTGAGCGACCCCAGCCTGCAGGAGCCCAGCGCCCAAGCTGACCTAAGCTTCCGGCCAAGCAGCTCCACGCGTGAGGCAACTCCCGGCTGGGCAGCCTCCCCGCGCGCCGTGACCCGGGGCCTGGGCCGCTCACCGCCCAGGCGGGTCACCGTATCTTGGGTTTCTTCTCAAAGATCTAAGTTCCAACGTGGGTGCGCCTGGGCTTGGCCTGGGACGGGGTCACAACTGACTAACTTCTAACCTGACCCACGGCTCAGAGGGTGTCCCTCCGGGCTGGTTCTTGACCGGGCAGAGCGGGGTCGTTCCGGCAGCTTCCACGCAAGCACGGGGTGAGGGCGGCGGGGAAGGGCGTCGTGATAACCCTCCTCTGGCACGAAAACTTCCCCGGCTACCCCGGCGCACAGGTGGAAAGGAGGGCCTCCCACTTTCTCCCCAGGGCCCAGGCCGGCGCTCAGACGCTGGCCTCTCCCGGGGGCTGGCTAATCAGCCCTCCAGCCTTCGCCCCAAGGGCGCACGAGCCGCGGCCCAGGTTCCTGCCTCCCGGGGGATCTCCACCCCTTCCCGGCAGGGAGCCGAGCCCCCAGCCCGCGCTCGTGTCCGCCAGGCGGCGCCCTTCCAGGAGCCAAAGGGCTGCAGGCGGCTTCTCGGCTGAGCCAGCCTCCCCCCGCCCGCACCCCGCGGTCTGACCCGACTCGCCCCGGCTAAGGCCGTGCCGGGGCTGAGAGGCCTGCGCTCGCACTGGGGTCGATCCTCCTCCGTCCGGAAAGTAAAGGTGGGGGCGGCCGGGACTTCGCGGCCGACTCCCCACGGGGCCCCGCGACCGGACCCCAGCCCCAGGTCGCGCGCCGTGCCCCGCAGCTCACCTTCTCGCCGGTCAACACGTGCAGCCCCTCGCGCACCTTGGCGAAGGAGCCTTCGCCCAGCTTCCTGCTGCCGACCAGGTAGTTGCCCACGCGCTTGTGGTGCTGGAAGTCGCGCAGCCGCTCGCGGGGCACGCCGCTCACCCAGGCCGGCAGGAAACTTCCCTCGCAGGCCGCCGCCGGCCGGGCCGCATCCTCGCCGCCCCCCGCCGGGGGCTCGCCCAGGAGCCCGTCCCCCGCCGCCGCCGGCATTGCGCCGCCCGGCTCCTCCTCCCGCTCCGCTCGGGCTCCGCTCCGGCTCCTCCCGCCGCCGCCGGGCCCGGCCCCGCCGAGCGCGCGCAGACAATAGCGGCCGCCCAGGCGGTGGGGGTCGGGGACCCGCCCCCAACAAGTTCTTCTTCGGAGGGTGGCCGGGCCCCTTGCAAGACGCGGGCCCCGCCCCGGGTCCCGTCTGAGCTGCCGAGGTCAGTGGCCGCGCTCGGAGGCGCAGGGAGTCGCTCTGGCCGGGGAGGGGCGGCGAGGGAGCGGTCCAGTGCCCGGGTCCCGGATCCCGGCGCTCGGGTCCCCGCGCCCGGCGCCTCCGCTGCCTCCGCCCCGCCTGCTCGACCGCGCGGGCTCGGGTCCGCTCGCCTGCTCGTCCTAGCTGGGCGCGCGGCGGGCTGCAGGCGCCCTCTGGACGGCAGCAGAAGAAAGCCCCATTCAGTCTGAATTTGCAGAAATTTAATCCGGGCGCGGGCGGCGGGAACAGATGCGAGCTCCGCGGCGCAGCCTGTGCACTTTCAAATCCCTCGTAGCCCCTCCCTCCCCGCGCGCAGCAGCCACGCTCGCCCCTCGCGGGAGACGGAGGGCGGGGGCGCGGAGCGGCGGACTGGGGGACCCCGCGCGGCCTGGCAGACGCGCGCTCCCGGCCGCCGGATTCCGGCCGTCTCCCGCCGCGCCTCCCGCGCGATTCTCAGCTCGGGCTTTCTGGACCTTTCGGCGGTGAAATACTCCGCCAGCCGCACCCACCCGGGGCAGGAGGGAGGAAGGCGCCCCGACCGGGTGTCCAGCCCAGGGCCTGGCGCACAGTACGGCCCCCTGGACCCTGTGGGTGGACCGATGGAGGGGTGGGTGGCAAGGGTGGGGGAGGGGCGGGCGGGCGTCTACCCCGGTTCTCAAGCAGATGGGACCGCTCTGTTCCGGGGGAGCAGGCGCGACCAGAACAGTCCGACAGCAGCGCAGGGGCCTGGGCGGTGGCAGCCCCTGCCAGCGCGTCTCCACCTTCGCGCCCCGCTGCAGTGCTGCGGGCGGCGGCGGCGGGCTGAGCGGCCCCGCGCTCCCCGCTCCCGGAGGCTTTTGTTCTGCGCGCCCCGTGACTTTTGCTCGTCCCTCGTAAACAAGCCCCGCTCCCCCGAGGACGCGGATCTTTGCAGGACCCCCACCGTCTCCTCAAACCCAGAATGAGGAATCTCCAGAGGGGAGAAGCTGGCGGGGGAGGGGAGGGGGGCTGGAAGGAAATCTACACAACGCTACCTGTTGAGCGGCCAGATAAAAGGCGCCAACGTGCGGCGCAGACGCCGCCCGGATCCTACAGCGTCGGAGCTGCAAGGGAAGACTCGGCCGGGACCGAGAGCCTTCCGCCCGACTCCCCCTCGGCAAACCAGCACGACTCGATCCCTGTCCGTGCTCTGAAGTGGGGGGGCGGGGGGGCGGAGAGAAGGGGGGCGGCAGCGCTCATTAACCCAGCGCCCTGGGAGCTCTCTGACCTAGCCGAAAGGTGGCCCAGGGAAGCACCTATTTTAAATAGATCTAATTTTGACTATTAGGCTATAGTCAACGACTCCCAAGTGTGCAAGTCGCCAGCCTTGGCGTCTATCCGTCTTCCCAATGTCTCCATTATTCCGAATTAAAGGGACAGTTCCAGATGTATCTCTTGGCGTATTTAGGGGACTTCTTTGCCACCACCCCACCCCGACAATTTCCGCGAGGCCCATCCCATCTGTTTAATGTCTCTAGTTCAAGGATCAGATTTCAAGAGGACAGTGACATGGGGGGAGGGGGCACGTGTCCAGTGGATGAGGACGACGAGGCTCGCTTTGGGGTCCTCACGGCGCAGTCTCCTTTCAGAAGAGCGCTCCGTGTTCCCCACAATGTCGTATTAATAGAACATGACATTTTAAAATTCCGGGCATTAGCGCTATACGAAAACTTAGAAATTCCCTTATTCTGGCGAGAGGCAAATGTCAGACGCTGTTCATCAAAGCGTCTTTATGACCTAAAAAAAAAAAATTAGCTTCAGGCATAAAAATGGTGGAAGACATCTACAATAAAATAGAGGTTTTCTTTCCTTTTAATTATCCTCTGGGGGTGGAGGTCAGGAAAGGGGTGAAGAAGAGAGAAAAACCAGGCCCATTAAATCTTTTTCTAGCCTGATGCCTGGGTTTGATTCAAGTTCCCTGCTAATTCCATCAGCTGGGATGGATGCCAAAGGGAAGTCCAGACCCAGTGCCTGTCTGGGCTTAGCAACTGGTTTCTGAGCTGCAGGTCCTGCTCCGTGAACGACCTTGTTTAATAAAAAGTAACCCCAGAAATTCCTGTTCCTGAGACAAATTAGTGTGCAATGCATTGCCCTCCTATCAGGCGTGCAGAAAACATCTGGTTGAAAAGCAACCCCCCCCGCCCCTCCCCCAAAGACTTTCCAATTGTCCTACACTAAATTTCCTCTCCCCCCCCCCCCGTGGGGTCGCCCTGGGCACTAAATTTCCCTTGTTCTCACCCCTACACTTTTTTCCCATGCCACCCCAACCCCCATCTGCCACCTCTGCCCCCTCCCTACCTTGTCCCCATGTGTCCCTTTCCCACGGAGCCCGAAGCCCTCACAGTGCCTGAGCTGAGAGCCAGGGGCCCCTCCCTTCTCTCCCATGCCCCTCACTTCACACTCTCCTGGCCGGTGGGTGTTCTTGCACTCACTATGGTGTAGTGTCTCCTCTTTCAGACGCACTGAGAATGGGAGTTGTGTCTCATTTCACACTTTATCTGTCCCACAGGCCCCATCCCGGAGCCTGAGGCCCGGCCATTGTTCACCAAATATTTGTGGGACAAGTTAATGGAAGTCACTGTTCTGCTGATTCTCCAACGAGTGGCGTTTCAGGGCTCCTGAGCACCGCCCCCACCCCGCTCAGAGCGCGGGCAGCCAGTTGCCGGCAGCCTTGTCCGAGGTGGGCCCTTCTCCAGCGAGGGCGAGTTTGCCCTTCCAGAAGCGTCACCCACTACAGTGGGCTGGAAGCCTGGAGAAGCTCCCTGGGTGGGCTCGCACCGGCCGCTCCCTTCCTCCCCGCCTCCTTCCCCATCTCCCCCGCCCCCCACGGGAAGCTGGCTGCGCCCCCACGGAGCACCAGCCAGGAGCCCAGATGGACGCCGTCAGAGACAGTTAGAAGCGCTCAGGCTGGCACAGCCCCGGAGCGAGCTTGGCCAGAGGGCTGGGCCGCCCGACGCAGGCTGGGGCTGGAAGAGGAGTGACCGGGAAGGCGGGACGGCGGGCACGAGCACCCTTTGCCTGGAAGATGGTCTGTGAGCTCCGAGAGTCAGTGCTCCCCAAACAAAGCTCCCGGGAAACAGTGGAGCAGGGCTGGCACCCGCGACCCCAGAGGTCGTGGCCACCGTGATTCTTCCCCGGCTGTTTCAGGGGCTCCGTGCGAGGCTGGGGGGGAAGGGGTCCGGAGTGAGACAGGCTGGTGGTCTTGCGGAGCGGGTTGTCCTCTGCGCCCTGCAGTGAAGCTCTGCTCTGAAAAGGAAGCGCAACTCGGACCTCTGTGCCTCGGTTTCCCCGTCTGTAAAACTGGGATCCGAGGAAGGAAGCGTGACCACCAAATGAGATTAGGCACATAAAGCCCACCCCCGGCCTGGGCACCAGCACAGACGGAGTTTGCCGTCAACACCGCCGTCACCACCACGCCGACAGGGGTCCCTCGGCAGTGCCCCAGAGTTGCGCAGAGACAGCCGTCTCTGGTGCTGAGCCACCCAAGGTGTTCTCTCCAGGTTGGGTCTCTCCCCCACCCGGAGTCCGGTGGGCAGTACGCCTGGCAGGAGGTCAGACCTGGCCCGGACTCAGCGCCACGCAGCACCCAGCACCCTCCTGCTCCTTCCCCAGGATCTCACCCAGCTTCACCCACAAACCCAAGGGTCGTGCTTCATCGCTTCCTGTCCTTCCTGGCCCTCAGCGCCAATCCCTCGGCCAGTCCTATCGGCTCTTCTCCACAAGGCACCCACGTCTGACCACTTCCCTGCACCCTCTGTCCCTGTCCTCAGATGCCGCAGTGCCAGGTCACAGCGTGTGGCGTGATGCAGCATGCCCTCACCACCCCGCCCCCCCACCCCCGTCTCCTGGGGCCAGCCCCCCAAGGCCCAGCGCTCCTGCAAGCGCCGGACTGCTCCGCCTTCAGAGCCCTTGTCCTCGATGTCCCCTCTGCCATTGACACATTGCTCCTGGACCGGCTCCTGGTCCGCCTGTCCCTTCGTGCCGGGCTCTGCTCTCTCCATCTGGGAACTGCCCTCTCCGCCCCGCCCCTGCTCAGTGTCTCCCCGTGCCACCCCCTGCTCAGCCGTCACAGAAGACTGCACACTAGTGTATGTGTCCCCTGTCCAGGTCCTCTAGAACGTGAGGTCCCTGAAACCAGGGACTTCGTCCGGGCGTCCGCCCGCCATGCATGCCTGGTGGGTGCTAGGTGCCTCGTCTCGACTCGCGGCCTGCATGTCTGGGCTTCGGGTGGCGCCTGCAGCGTGATGGCGTGTGGGTGGTGGCACCCAGCTGCCCTCCCGCACCCGTTTCCCGGCTGCACCGAGCAGATGCTCAGGGAGAAGGGGGCACAACTCCATCAGGACCCCAACAGCGGCCCCCAGAGGCGCTGACTCTCAACCTGCCTGCCCCCGCCCCCCGTGGGTCCCCGGGAGCCCGGCGTCACAACTGTTCCGTAAGAAATGTGCCCCCACCTCCCAGCCACCGGGCAGTCCTGGGACTCCACGTCCTGGGGCGGGGCCCCTTTCTCCGAATCCTAGCAGCAGGCGGCTGAGCAGCGGGGGAGTTAGATTACACTGGCTCCCAGGACGAGGCTGTCGCACACAGAGGCGGCCAAGGGGAGGGGCTGCTGGGACAGCAGGGTCAGGGGAGCTGGGCCCCTCACCAGCCTGGTCCAGCAGGGGTCACCCCAGCAGACTGATGACTGCTGGCAGCTCCAGGCAGCAGGTGGCTGGAGGTGGACGAGGAGAGCGGCGCCCCCTGCTGGTTGAGTCGGCTCTCTGCAGGCAGGACACGGGAAAGCCCAACCAGGGTCCCTCCCTCCCCGGGGGATCCCCCGCCTGCAGGCTCCGTGACCCTGAGCAGGGCCCGTATCTTCTCTGCACGTCCGTCTTCTCCATCTGCAGAGGAAGTTACTCCTCTCCGTCGTCTCCAGTTCCCAGGACTAAAGGAGGCAAATACATGTGAAGAAGCCACAAAAAATAGAAACCATTTTGGTTGTTGTCTTAATTCAATGTGAAAAGTGTCGGGGACACACGTTAGAAAACAGTGACTTTAAAATAAAATGAAAAGCAGGTGGCTGGACACGGTGGGCACCCCGCACCCCTTCCTTGGAGGGGGAGGCTGTCGGGGGGGGGGGCGCTGACCTGGCCGCAGCTGTCCCCAGCCAAGCCAACTGTCAGAGGTCCCTCCCACGCCCCCACCCCTCAGACCTCCTGAACCCTCACCTTCCGACCCCCCTCCCTCCAGGCTCCCGCTGAGTCTGCACGAGGACAGCCACGTGGGCGGTGTGTGCGCTCTGTCCAGACGTCCAGT